GGCTGTGCAGGGCTGTCCGTAGTCGTGCAGGGTTCTGTGCAGTTGTGCACAGTTGCATAGGGCTGTGTGCAGTTGTGTGTGTGGCTGTGCACACCTGTACGTGGTTGTGTCCACCTGCACGTGGTTGTGTGTGGCCCCACATGGCTGCGTGTGGTTGTATACTGCCGTATGCGGTTGTACGCAGCCGTTTGCAGCTGTAGGTGGCTGTGCAGGGGTTTGTGCGGTTGGTTGTGTGTGGCTGTGCAAGGGTTTGTGCGGGTGGTTGTGTGTGGTGGTGCAGGGGTTTGTGTGGTTGGTTGTGTGTGGCTGTGCAAGGGTTGTACGGTTGGTTGTGCGTGATTGTGCATGGCTGTGCAGGGCCGAGCATGGTTGTGTGTGCGGTTGTGCGTGGCTGTGCACAGTTGTTGGCAGCTGTGCGTGCTGCAGACGTGCGGGCGGTGGGTTTCCTGCTGCGAGGAAGCCGCGACTGTGGGAAAATTCCAGCGTGTGGGAGCAGGGAGGGGGCTAGGGCTGGGGCGGGGGTGGAGGGAGCAGCCAGGCCCCCGCAGCTTCTGCCCACCCGCAATTAATAGAAAACCCCACAAACCAAACCAAACCCGGGAACAATAACGGCTCAATTAGGGGAGCGGGTGCACAAAGGGCAGGCAGCTTCCCTGCCCGCACTGGCGCTTGCTGCCACATCATCATCTCGCCGGAGATTTCACGGCCACCGCCTCCCTCCCCTGCTCCCCCCTCGGCCTTTGGGGCAAGATTTGCAGGGCTCCCTGGGGGTGCCCCTCTAGCTCTGTCTTGGGGTGTCCCCTGAGAGCTCAGGGATGGCTCTGGGGGTCCCTGCAATGGCCAGTGGCACCCCATGCCCTTGGCACAGGGCAACCAGCCTCCTCGCGTGCCTTGTTGGCCCAGGGCACATTGCTGACTACCCACACATGATTGTGGGCAGAGGAGAAAACCCTGTGGGCAGCCCCAGGCAGGGAGTGGCTTTGGGATGCAGGGGAACGGGACTGGGGAGCAGGATTCCCTCCTCCCCAGCCCTGGGGGTGGCACAGCTGGCGGCCCCCAGCACTAGCCCACCCGCAGACCCCCTTTTCCAATGAGCCACTGCAAGCAGCAGCCAAGGGAAGAGCTGCCTACGGCCAGCACAGGTTTCTGCTCTGCTCTCGCCCTTAATTTTGGGAACCTTGGAATAAGGATGCACACACACGCACATGTGCACATGTGCTCGAACCTCAAACCAAGGTGTGCAGCTCGGGGCGCTTAATGACAACCAGACCCCGTTAACCACATGCCCTGGAGCAACAGTGGGGCTCCAGCAGGAAGGAAAATCTGCCCCCTGACACCATGCAGAGCCCAGAAATACTGCCCAGGGCTGCTTCCACTCCCTGCCCTGCCAAAGGGCCCAGCACGGCTGCGACCAAATCAGGGGCCACGGGGATTGTTCCGATTTTCTGGTGCTTGTTGGCAGGTGGAGCCAGTTAAGGTTGTGAGGGAGCAGAAAATAAGGGGAAATAGGAGCTGGAAGGAGAGGGGGCCTGTGGGGCTGCTGCTGTAGAGGAGGAGGATGGTCTGTGGGGATGAGCTGGTCCCTGGGGCAGCCCAAGGCCCGCCGTGATGCTGCAGAGCAAATTAATTAATGAAGCAATTCCCAGGCAAGCCTGAGCCTTCCTTGCTGGGCCCCTGAGACGTGGCTGGGGCCGGCGGGGGGTGGCAGCATCCCTTTCTGCCCCAGCCCTGGGGTGTCCGGCAGCATTCGGGGTGCCAGGCCGAGCAGGTGGCCGTGCGAGGGGACCAGTTGGGATGCGCTGCTAAAGCCAACGAGCTTTTAATCCGCCTCTTTCCAGGGCAGCTTCCCCCCGCCGGGGCTGCGGCGGCTGCAAAGCAGCCCTGACCGCCAGGAATTTCTCGCTATGCGCTGGGAAAGCTCCTTCCCGCCAGCTGTCGGCAGCCTGGGGCCACCGGGCGCAGGCGTGTTGGACTGGGGAGAGCTGGGGTGAGGGGCCGCAGGGGCCCCACTGTGGGCCAGGGTCCTGCCCCGGCCCCGAGCATCCCTCCCCGGCACAGGGATGGCTTGGCTTTGGTCCAGTCAAAGTGGGGGCTCAAAGCAGACCCTCCTGCCAGGTTTTGGGGCACAGCTCCCCAAGGGGTGGCAGGGTTGGGGGGTGGCAGTGTCTTTAGGGTCACCAGGCTCTCACTTCTTGCCAAGGCCCGTGGGCTTGGGCTGTGCCCCCCAGTCCCTTTTCTGGTGCTGCAACCTACCTGCTGCCCTGGAGCATCCCCAAACCCACAGGCCTCACCCTGACTGTGTGGGTCATCCCCCAGCTCCACAGGCAGCACCTACTCCTATGGGGCATCTGTGAACCCCGAGGGCATCATCCTGACCTTATGGGGTATCCCCTGACCCCAGGGATGTCACTCTGACTCTATGGGGGCATCCCCTGGTCCCAGGGGCCTCATTCGGACTCCATGGAGCATCCCCTGGTGCCAGGGCCAATATGCTCACCCTATGGGGGACCCCCTTGTCCCAGGGACATCCCCTGTCCCACGATAGCTATGGGGCTCCAGGGCGCTGCAGGCAGGGCAGGCAGGCTGCCTGGACATCTCCGGGGTGGATGCAAGGCCTGCAGTTCCCTGCTCGGGGCCAGGGGCCGCAGGGAGGGCTGAGAGGGGCCGGCCGCCTTTGTGCCTCCCCTTTGTGCCCCGCGATTCACATGTTCAGGCTTTTATCCGGCAGCCGGGAAAGAGGAGGGTGAAGGGGGCAGGAGAGGGGGGAGAA